GATCACGTCCGGGTCCTGACGCAGGAAGCTCCGGAGCGCCCCCGCGAACGTCAGCCCCACCTCCGTGTTGATCTGCACCTGGCACAGCCCGTCGATGTCGTACTCGACCGGGTCCTCCGCCGTCAGGATCTTCACGTCGATCGTGTTCCGCTCGGCCAGCGCCGCGTAGAGCGTCGTCGTCTTGCCCGAGCCCGTCGGGCCCGTCACGATCACGATCCCGTTCGGCCGGTGCATCACCGTCCGGAACAGCTCCAGGTCGTCCGGGCGCAGGCCGATGCGGTCGAGCGACAGCTCGACGTTCGAACGGTCCAGCACACGCATCACGACCGACTCGCCGTGCATCGTCGGCAGCACCGACACGCGGAGGTCCACCGGGTTCCCGCCCACCTGCAGCTCAACGCGACCGTCCTGCGGGATGCGCCGCTCCGCGATGTCCAGGTTCGCCATGACCTTCACGCGCGACGTGATCGCCGGGCCCAGGTACTTCGGCGGCGGCACCATCTCGTACAGCACGCCGTCGATGCGGTACCGCATCTTGAACTCGTCCTCGAACGGCTCGAAGTGGATGTCCGACGCGTGGTCCTTGATCGCCTGGAGCAGCACCAGGTTCAGCAGCTTGATGACCTTGTTGTCCTCGGACGCGTCCAGCACCGCCTCGAGGTCGATCGACGCCCCCGCCGCCGCCGGGTTGTTCGCCAGCGACTGCAGGCTCGAATCGCTCGCCATCGCCCCCACCACGTCCGCGACCGACGTGCTCTTGCCCGCGTACGACTCCTGGATGATCGCGTCGACCTGCTCGTCGTCCGCCACCACCGCGTCCACCTTGAACCCCATCAGCAGCCGCAGGTCGTCCACCGCCCGGAAATTGTCCGGCGACTTCATCGCGATCGTCAGCTTCTTCGATTTCGGCTCGTACTCGATCGGGATCACGTTGTACGCCTGAACCGTCTCGGCCGGCACCGCGTTCCGCGTCTCCTCGTCGATCTCGTACTCATCCAGGTCCACGAACCGAAGGCCCGCCTGACCGGCGAGCGCCGCCTTCACGTCCCGCTCGGTCACGTGACCGAGCTCGACGAGCAGCTCGCCGAGAGGAATCCGACGCTCCTTCTGCTTCGAGAGCGCCTCGTGCACGGTCTCGCGCGACACCTTGCCCATCTTCGTGAGCACTCGCCCGAGCTTCCGCTTCTTCAGTTCTGAGGGATCAATCTGCGACATGCCATCAGCCTCTCGATCGGGACCGCCAGCACGTACTGGAGGCCCAACCTTTGGTCTATGCGATACTTAGAACACAACTGTTCCGTTGGAACAACCACTTTTTTGAACACCAGATGATGCGACACCTGGTTTTCGATCTATTTAGGACGCAAAAAACGCCCCTCATCACTCGCACGGGCCCGTCTGCCGAAGGGCCCGAAAACGCGTGAAATCTCTTCACCTGCCCACCGCCGACGTCGCCGCCACCGGCCGAGCCCACCCCGCCCGGCGCCACCGCACCGCCCGTGCCCCGAGACCCATATTCGTGAATCCGGGTTCACGAGCGGGCCGGCTCCCGAGTCACGCCGACACCGCCTCGTCCGGCTCGTCGAGCTCCGCCCGGCCGACCTGGCGGCCCAATTTGTGGACGCGGCTCGTCAGGTCCTCCGGGTTCTTCGCCTTGTCCACCATCTCGTCCGCCGCGATCATCCCGCGGGTGTAGAGCGACCACAGGTGCTCGTCGAGCAGCTGCATGCCGAACTTCTTGCCGGTCTGGATCGCGGAATCGATGCGGAACGACTTGTTGTCGCGGATCAGGTTCGCGATCGCGGGGGTCACCACGAGGAACTCGTACCCCGCGACCATGCCCTTGGTGTCCACCCGCGAGAGGAGGACCTGGCTGAGCACCGCGAGCAGCGCCGTGGAGAGCTGGACGCGGATCTGGTTCTGCTGCGTCACCGGGAAGGCGTCGACCACGCGGTCGATCGTCTTCGCCGCCCCGGTCGTGTGGAGGGTGCCGAACACCAGGTGGCCCGTCTCGGCCGCGCGGATGGCCGCCTCGATCGTCTCCAGGTCTCGCATCTCACCGACCAGGATGCAGTCCGGGTCCTGACGCAGCGCCCGTCGCAGCGCCTCGGCGAAGTCCGGGACGTCCGAGCCCACCTCGCGCTGGTTCACGATCGATTTCTTGTGGTAGTGGTAGTACTCGAT